TTCCTGCTGTACCGCAGAGCATCACAAATCCCCGTGACGTCGCTCTAACTTATACTTAATGTTTAATATTTTTTTATTTTTACCTTAATTTAAATACAGAAGGTCAAGGCATCAGTTAAACAGAAAGGCTATCAACAACTCTAAAATTTAAAGAAAAACTTTCTTTGTGTGTTTGAAAGCTTGAAAGACCAAGGCACAATCTTAAGATAACGATTTATTCATTCAGTTCAATAGTGTGCTTAGTATATATACTTTACCTTCTTTACATTTATAACATTTAAAACATATAACTTTAAATAATTCAGTTTATATAAAGATCGGTTACAGTTTTCACATAAATAATCCTAAATTAAGTTTAGGACCCTCAATTTTGGAACATCCCCTGACTGTGCCACGTTCTTTCAGGTTCCCTATCATTTTCCTATTGATCTCTCACCTGGAAAGCCCTTCCCACACTCATCTTTCAAGGCTCAGATTGAAATGACCTCTTTCAAAGGCTTCCTCAATCCCTCTGAATAGGATTATTCAACTTTTCTTCTTTGCTCCCATTACACTTCTTGTAGAGCAATGATCATACTGCACTCGTTTTTTCTCACCTAATCCCCATCAGGCAATCAGCTTACATAATACAGCATGGTGAGATGCTCTGCTTTTGCCTCTCTCCCTCAATAAATATTTGAAAAGTCTCTCCCTCAATAAAAGTCTCTCCCTCAATAAATATTTGAATGAATGAATGATCTAATAGTTAAGATTCCACTGTAAGGTCATGCTCTCCTCAAACATGACCACCTGGTAAGGCAGAAGAGTTATAGGAAATGTCAGAGTCCTCTAAGGCAGAAGGACTGAACCGGACACTCTATTTAAAGATAAGGTAGAATTCACAATCAATGCCACACGTTACTTTTGTTATACTGTGAATAGTAAATTGAGAGTAAACTGTGAGATGTCGAGAACTGGACAGAAGGGCAGCCACGGTAACTTGCTTTATTTCAAGTTCCCTCTTGCTGCCACATTCTAAAACGGTCAAACAAAATAATTCTGAGTCCATGAAAAAGGCCTGAAGAACAAGATATTCTTGCAAGAAAAAAATGTAAAATTATTTAAGTAAAATACTCCAGATCAGCTTTACGTGCACAGGAATCCCCTGGGACTCTTGTTGGAAAAGCAGGCCGTAATTCAAGAGGTCTGGCTGGGGCCTGAGATTCTGCATTTTCTAACAAGTTCTCAGGTGAGGTTGAGGCTGCTGGTCTGTGAACCACTTTTAGAGCAGGAGACAGATGATGCACTTCGCTCTGAAGTCCAGGTGGGACTGTCTCAGCTTTAATTGGCACACTTAATATTCCTTGCTGTAACCTATCTTGATGGTGCTGATTATATAAAATACTGAAAATACTATTGGAAGAAATCTATATTACTTAAAATTTTTGTAATTGTTCTTACCTATACTCTGGTAATGCCATCGAAAGAAAATTCGTTCAGGTAGAAACTGCAGTATTTTCTATAAAACAAACAAAAATTCACAAGATATAAAGAGAAAATAAACAAAAAATGAAATTACACATTTTCATGTTAGCCCATAGTACATGCTGTATATCTATATATATCTATACAGACATATTTCAGAAAAGAAAAAAAAACTTCGTAATAACATAAATATTGCACTTTATCTTGGACCCCAACGGGACAGTCTCTTTTACTTGCCCCAAGCAAACATCCTTCCCTGAGTGTTTTAAAGAGATTACTGTCCCAACTTGAATTCTCCCTATAAGAAAGAAAAGAAAAAAAAAAACCTGAAGTGATCATTTTATCTTAATTAAATCACAGCCATTGCTTAACTATTACAAGAATAAGCTCTCAAATGCCAGATTCTCTAGGTGTCTTCTTTTTCACCTTCCACTTCCCATTTTCATTAAAATCCTCGCTGGTCTCTGGACAAGAAACGGAATTGCGAAGAAAGATGAACAACGAAGAGTTTAAGACCTTACTCAGTGGAATAAGGAAATGGAACTGGTGGCAAGAATTTCTTGAAATTAATAGCTAAAAATTAGTTTTAGGATTGTAGTTATGAATCCCCCCACCGCTGCCTCTGGTAGATACAATAAAGAACAAATTTACAATATACAAGAGTATTTGGAGAATGAAAGCAGCTTTTCCCAAAAGACCCAAACAAATGAGAACGACTTTTTTTTCACTCTACAAGTATTGGCAAGTTACTCTTGGGCAATAAAAGTCCTTGTATTCTATCTGTAACTGCCTTTTTAAAAAATGTAGAAAATCCAAACACTGGTTAAAAATTCATTCCTTGGTATTGATAATATATTTCTATTTTACTATGAAAATCCTCATTCTAGGTTTATCTAGCCTAACAGTCTAACATTTTGAAAGATTAAGGTATGGACTTCCCCGGTGGTCCAGTGGCTAAGACTCTGCGCACTCCCAATGCAGGGGGCCTGGGTTCGATCCCTGGTCAGGGAACTAGACCCTGAATGCCGCAACTAAAGATCTCACACGCTGCAACAAAGATCCCAAGTGCCGCAACTAAGATCTGGCACAGCCAAATAAATAAATAAACAAATATTTAAAAAAACATATCAGATTCCTATGATTAAAAAATTGAAAAAAAAAGATTAAGGTAAAAAACTTATTGATATATTCAGACCTCCTGAATAAGTATATTTCCAGGCAGCTATCAACACACTACCTCTTCCATTCAAGCCAGCTTGGGGTTTGGTTTGGTTTTCTTGTCGTAACTTTCCAACTGGGTCAGCAACATACACGTGTGTTTACCTCATTTGTTCCCACCTGACAATAAGGCAATGTGTAAGAACGTCTACTAGGAAAGCCACCACAGGTAAACCTGATCCAATGTGGGTGACTATCAAGGGCATGACTTGTCCCAGCTTGGACATCTTTCCCAGCAGCTGGGCCTCACTGTAAACGTCACCTCCTCCATCACCTGTCCCCTCGTCCCTGGCACAGTCCTCACCCCTGGCTGACTGGAAGCCCCATGAAGGCCAGAACACCCTGAAATACCCCCAGTGCCTGAAGCATGCCTGGCACACAGTCGGTGCTCAATAAGTATTCACTAAAAGAATTCTGAATGTTTTTTACTTGTGAAATTGTGAATTTTATAGGTAATCCTGATCTTTGCTATGGTCTTATATTCACATTGACATAATATGTACCTTATATTTCCTTAAACATCACTGAATTAGTGATGGCATTTACATTAAAATGTGTGGGCGTTTTTTAGCCCTGAACCTAGTAAAGAAAACCCAAACAAAAAATAAAAGCTGTATCATTTAAAAGAACTAAGTTTTTCAAAATCTGATAAATATAAATGTATTTAGTTACATAAATTTGTCATATATTCTATACGCTACACATCTACAAAGATGAAAATGCTACACAGACCATCAAAGATTATTTCTGATTATATATTAAAAGCTGTACGTAGCTGACCACATGCTGAAAATCACTAAATTCTCTCCTCCATTTTTCCACTTCAGACTTCCCCTAGAACATGTTGGTTTGTTATCTTTTAACCCCATAATTCTAAAGGGTATCTTAAATCTGTTTTACTATGTGATAATACTGACATACACTCAAACATACCTACACACACACACACACACCACACACATACACACACAGATCTACACACACACACACACACACACACACACGCCAGATCCCACTTAGTGAAAAATATCTACAAGGCTTGGTATTTGAAATGCAGAAATAAAATAACTATGAATAAAATACTTTGTCTTTACTTCCAAGGGTTTCATGATTCATGGGCAAGAGAGACGGTAAGGAAAATATCATTCAGGGAAAAAAAGAAGCCTGACAGAAATTTGTATGACGTGTTACATGGGTGAGGGGAAAGCGCCTCCCATCAGTGGGGACCTCATGGATTGCTTCCTAGAGAAGAGGACACTTGGGCTAAGACTTACAGATTAAATTAGCCAAGTGGAGGGCAGGAACAGAGGAGGAGCGTGTGTGAAGGTTCGGAGGCAGACAGCAGCAGGCAGTAAGCGTCGCGGGCAGGCGGCTGAGAAGGGGGGAGACGGGCCTAGAGAGGCAGGCAAGGCCGGGGTTGATGCTCTCCCTGGAGCAGGTTCTGTAAGACGGCTGAGAAGAAAGGCAGGGGCGTGCAGGAAGCAGCAGTGGTAGTATTTCAGACAGGGAGTGAAATGGCCTGGACCAGGGGCAGCAGGGTAAGAGGAGAAGCTGGCACAGTGACATTCAGAAGGGGAAACTGTCAAGGTGGACAGGTCGAGCAGCTGGGGTAAATGGAGGACTCAAGAATGACCCCCACCACCCACCAGAGGGCTCGGTAGATGGCAATAATTTTATCCAAGATGTCAAATCGAGAAGGAATTCCATAATTGAAGCATGTCAGGTTTGGTTCTGGACATCCTGGCATTTGAGGTGTCAGTGAACCACCTTACTGAAGATGTTCTGATAGGCAATCGGGTATATGGGTCTAGAACATAGAAATGGGATCTGGATGGTAACAGAAAACAGGCAGCAGTTAAAGGTGTGTGTATATGAGACCCTTCTGGGAGAGAGCTTGAAATGAAATGAGATAAAACCCAAGCACTAACAGTTTCCTGAAGTTCTGCTAAGGAGGTAAGGATGCGGGGGGCCGGACAGGGGAACAGAAGTTAGAAGCAAGCGTGCACAAGTCAAAGGAGAAACTCTGGATGTGCCAGGTGTTCGTAGGCTTATCGTGTTAAAGATTAGAAACACGTATGACTAATTGATATGACAACTAGTTAGAAAAAGCTAAAGATGCTGGAAATGTGGGGAAATCGATGCCACGTAACAAAGTGACTTCAGCGTTAAATCAAGTGAGCTCGATGGTTTCCCTTGCCCAGAGAACCCACAACCTTTGTCGGCCAAACACCAAGTGCCAGGCAGGATGGATCTATCAGTCTATAAACTGTAGGAAGGCAAGTGGCTCTCTGGGGGAAAAAAATCAAAAAAGGTCTTCACTTTGCAATTATACCAACATGCATTTTAGATGGATAACACACAAAAGGAACTAAATGTAAAAACTGGGTTATGTCTTGTTAAGTTCCATTACATTAAAAGGGAATCACAAGAAGAAGAAAAAAAAAGTCAGATTTCTACAGAACATTTTAACAGGAACCAATGCAAACATTGTCCTACCATCAGAACGTAAACCTGAATGTCCCCATGAGCTGCAGAAGACACGACAGCAGAGAAAACCCAGAGAGAGGTCTATGGATTGCGGGAAAATATCACAAGCAAGGAGGTGAGTACAAGAAAACCACCTACTCTGGAACCAAGGATACAGATGAGGGTATCAGCAGTTGGGCTGCTGTCCAGCCAAGCAAGCAGCTCTGGAGCCCAGAACAAGCACATCTTGGGGTGGGCTGGGGGCTCTCCAGACTCAAGAGAGAAAGACAGCTTCCGTTTGTGCCTAAGTTTTATGATTCCTTTTTTTCAGTCAATATTTATTCATTTATTTATTTATTTTTAATTTTTATTAGTCTTTAAATTCTATAGTATTTTACAATTTTCAGAAGTTTCACACACATGATTTCATACAATCTCATAATAACCCTTTCCCCCCCAACTCCCATCTTGCCCCTCCCCCCTTTCCTCTCCCCACTGGTAGCCACTAGTTTGCTCTCTATACTGTTAATCTGCTTCTTTTTTGTTTTATTCACTAGTTTGTTGTATTTTTTAGATCCCACATATAAGTGATATCATACAGTATTTGTCTTTCTCTGTCTGACTTATTTCGCTCAGCATAATGCCCTCCAAGTTCATCCATGCTGCTGCAAATGGCAATATTTCATTCTTTTTTATGGCTGGGTAGTATTCCATTTTTTATATATTCCACATCTTCTTTATCCATCATCTGTCGGTGGACATTCAGGTTGCTTCCATACCTTGGCAACTGTAAATAATGCAGTTAAGTTTTAGGATTCTTTAACTCATCCTTTCTCTTTACCGAAAAAGTTACTACAGAGGCTATTTCAATATGTTTGCTACCAAATGAATAATAATGGTTGCAGGTTGAGTTCTCTGGGAAACAGACCCTGCATGCAGTTAGAAGCCCTAGTGGTTTATGGGGAATAGCATCTGTGAAAGAGAAACAGACCCCCACACAGAGCTCACAGTACGTTAGAGGAGCCCCACGTGCCTGACGACGGCCAGGCCACTGTACCACTGCCTCGCTCAGTCACTGGCTGGGGTCGTGATGGGAAGAGCATGGCCGTGGCTGGAAAGCTGAAGACGGCGCTGACAGCCGGGCGCTGGGGTGACCCCACTCCTTGCAGCCAGGCTGGAGGGGATTCGAGCTGCACCCGTCTCTGTCTGCCACGGTCATCTTCCAATGACTAATCAGGATATTCTCGTATCAAGAGGCTGAAGTCCTAAAGAAGTGCACCCTACTTCGGGGACGGGGTCTCTGCTGGCTTCACTTCTCATCGGCTGGCTGCAGACTCAAGGGGATGGGAG